CAAGGAAATTCTTAAATCAAATAAGTTTTATCGGATTAACCGATGTTATTGTCTACGTGTAATTTCGGTCGCATTCACCAAAATTAAAGCGCGTTTTTGTGCTTTTAATATAATTTCGGCACGTAGACAAACATCGGCAAAGCTACGGCCACACAGAAAGCTACGCTAAGTAAGCTGCATATGCTGTGTGGTGGATTTGAAAAAACTTCAAGAGGGGGGGTTACAATGACCTACAAAAATATGGGAACATGGGATTATAGCATTTTACAGAATGACTAAAAAGTTCACGACCCGTTATGTAAATCCATTATACAATTAAAATGTCCTGACATAAATAGAGTTAAAAATACGAAATACTGAGACGTAACATTCGACCCTCATTTGCGTTGGAAAAATTATATTTCAGAAATAAATATAAATATTTTTAAAATTATACGCTTTCCAAAACAATAATTATAGCCATCAATTTTTTAAATATACACCGGATAAAAAATATATACTTTGCCGTATCGCAATCAATAATCGAATATGGTATAGTAGTATTAAGAGAATAAATGCACATAAATATATTTTAAATCTTTATCTAGATACAAAACCCCAAATGTTGTGTCTATATGATTTTAAATAAAATTATTTTGGTTACTAACTATATCAAAAATTAAAATTAGCTTTAAACTTTCCGGTCTAATTTCTAATGTTCAATTAAACTTTTTAGTTAAACTAAACGTAAATAAACTAAATAAAAGCAACACTAATAAAATTAATGAAACCATAACAATAGCTAATTTCAGGTATTGTTATAGGTGGGTTAGGATAGGTTTTTTATGAAATAAACCTACAACCCTTAAAAATAACAAGCGCAAGAAAAATCTTAAATCAAATANAGCTTTAAACTTTCCGGTCTAATTTCTAATGTTCAATTAAACTTTTTAGTTAAACCAAACGTAAATAAACTAAATAAAATCAACACTAAAAAAATTAATGAAACCATAACAATAGCTAATTTCAGGTATTGTTATAGGTAGGTTAGGAAAGGTTTTTTAAGAAATAAACCTACAACCCTTAAAAATAACAATCGTAAGAAAATTCTAAAATCAAATAAGTTTTATCGGATTCACCGATGTTATTGTTTACGTGACGACATTATATCAGGAAACAAATGGAGGGCAAGAGAAACGCTTTTTCAGCAAATTTAATGATGAAAAAATTATTTTCGGTTGTAATTTAAAGGTAAACATCAAAGGTCATTGGAAAGTGTTTAATTACAAGAGTAATCCTTA